CCTAGGAACTGACAGCCAGGCACCTGCACATCTGATTTGAAGTCTTTGTGCAGAGCTAACCACACTATTTGAATAGCCTAATAAAGAGACCTGGTGGACCATGTGCTACAAGGTCCCCAAACCACCCATTGTAGGTTTTGAATTCAGAGTTGTCCTTCTCCTAGACCAGTTGCCATTCAAGGCTATAGAACTCAGTCTGTCCTGCTATTTGCTCATAGCTCGAGGGAGAAGAGGAGGATTCATGGAGTCATGAAGATTCACTAATGTGCTAATACCCAAGGGTATTAGCACATTAGTGAATGTAATGGATTCAACTGGAATTTGAACTCAGTTCTCTGATTCCTCAATCCAAGCTGCTATCCACTACACAAACATGCATATATATATATATATATATATATATATATATATATATATATATATATATCCTAGTTTCCACAGTCTTCTTGAAAGTAGTCCTTACTGATCTTACCAAGAATACTGCTCAAACAAAAAGGTAAAAATATCTGTACTATGTTTGGTTCATACACGTTATTCAAATTCCTCAAAAAATTCAGTAGCATACATATGTCATATATGGTGTGTGTAGACACACATACTCATATGAAGGCAAGCTAGATGATATTCACTGTTGAGAATGCTTCATCTGTTTTTCCATGTATTATAGTTTGAGAATCCTTTATCTGAAATTCTTGGAACCAGAAGTGTTTTGGTTTTCAGATGTTTTGGGATTTTGGAATTAATTGGAACAGAAAGAATAATTCCATTATTATTTACGTTCTTCATATTTTTACAATGAAACATGACCCAATGCACATGTTAGTACTTTGTATGTCCATTTTTGTATTTGTTAGTACTTTGTATGTCCATTCCACACAGTTGTTTCTTGCAGATTGACCAGAGGTGAGGCTTTCCAGTATGTTCATGCAGTGTTACAATTTTCATACGCTCATGTTCCTCAAAATCTTCTGGTCAAAGGCCTGGCTGTTGGATGTAGTTTATCATCTTACCCAGGATGCCTATGTAGTTTGTTGTCATACTTTTGTGATGTCAATGAACCCTCGTTTGAAACTTTTGTGTTGCCATCAAATACTCATTGTCACTTTTGTAATGCTCATTGTAGTAGCAACTTTGTAAATGCAGATACAACAATAGTAATGCTGTTGAACAATACTGGTGTCAGACACCTTCGAATATCACTTGCACTAATAGTACTTGCTTGATAATATTCACTTGAAAAGTAACCACCAAATAGTAATCTGTATAGTGATCAGTATAGAGAAATAGTGTAGAAATAGTATAGAGAATAGTGAACTGTATAGTAATATAGAATAGAATAAAAATGGTAATCATTTAGACATCACACTACTTCCTACTTATACGTTTCCCCATGGTCACATGATCCACTTAATTCAATAACAGGATCACCTGTGTTTGCTCTCTGGTGATCCATGTTCAAACTACAGTGTTGGCAGCGACACTTTACTCCTATACAACACATACCCAGAATGGCATTTAAATTGAATGTGACCAGAATATGATAATAAAACTAACACATTTATGTTGGACTAATGTTCTCATGTTTTTTTTTTTTGTTATTTTCATTGGACAGCATTGGTCAAACTGTAAATGTAAATAATGATAACTGCTCATCCCAGGAATTTAGACAGATAACAGAAACAAACAAGATCAGAAATAGAGCAAAAATTACTGATATTTAACGGTAATCGTATATTGAAGGCTATTAAGTATGCAGTCTAAATTTCTAAAATTGATTAATCAAATAAAAAAAATATTAGGTATCAGTACTGATAAGATGAAAATTAAATCCTGTTCAAGAAAAAAGTTGAGAGTTTATGAGTGATATAGTTACGTATATGTTTGTGTGTGTGTGTGTGTGTATATATATATATATATATATATATATATATATATATATATATATATATATAGGAAATGGACAAAGTCTGACAATTATTTTAAGACATTTTTTATGTTTATATGTTTTTTTTTAATATATACAAATATTTAAGTAAATTCTCTTTTTATAATAAACAGTATTAACAACATTTACCGGCCTGAATGTCCGAGAAATTTTCATAGAAAATATGCATCCTCCAACAGCAATCGAACCTGTATCCTATATGGAACCATCATATAGCCTGACCTGCTTTTACCGATTTCGCCACAGAGGAGCGTTTCAGTTAGCAAGGTTGATTTTACTGTTTTTAAACTTACAATTCTCCAGGATTTTCTCTCGTACATTCATATCTGCTTGATGCATATCCAAATGTAAACAAATGACATCACACATTATGAAATGGACAAAGCCCAACAATTATTTTAAGACATTTTTTATGTTTTATGTTTTATGATAAAAAGAACATATAAACATAAAAAATGCATAAAATAGTCATTGAGCAAATATGAATGTACGAGACAATATCATGGAGAATTGTAAGTTTAAAAACAGTAAAATCAACCTTGCTAACCGAAATCG